ATCCACACCAATTGAAATCAACCCCGGAGGAAAGAGGAAAACCAAGTCAGCCCAGTGCCACCACTACCCCCAACTCCCGAGGCTGGTCCAGAAGGATGCCATGTTCGATGGTATTGAATGCCTCTGAGAGGTCCAGAAGAGCAAGGATGGGTGCACTGTCTCCATCCCGCTCCTGCCAGAGGTCATCCAAGAGCGCGATCAATGCCTTCAGCCCCAAACCCTGGCCTGGACCTTGACTGAAAGGGGTCCAGATAATCATCCAGAGTCCTCTGCAACTGCCACACGACCACTCTCTCCACCGCCTTCCCTAAAAAGGGGAGGTTGGAGACTGGATGAAAGTTGTCCAGATCAGTTGGGTCGAGCGAAGGCCCCTTCCGGTTGAAGTCCACACGTCTTCAAGTTGCCAGGGTTGAGAAACCCTGGGCTAGAGCTTTGCTTCTTGAGTGGGGGGAGTGCAGGACTTTTTTCCTTTTTTTTAAAGAGGCCCCAAAAAGTTTGAAAATTCCTGGTCTACCTAATGAAAACCTGAAAAAGCAGGGTGATGTGGCTGCGAAAAAGCCGATCCAAATGTAGGCTGTATCAACAGAGGCGGTGTTTACCCATCGGTGAAGTAACGGTTCCATCGTATTCTGCGTGGGTCAGACCACCCCATCCTATGTAGCATGTCTGCTTTGGGGTGCTGCCTTGTATGAAGCACTTGAGCAGATCCGAACAAGGACAGAGAGGGGCAATGCAGAGGGTCAGAACGGGCTTGGCGTTGGGAGCATTCAGCCTTGAGAAAACATGCCCGTGATGGTGGTGTTTGCATACATAGTGTTCTGTGGGAACCGGACAGGCAGAAGTAGGTTGACCCCTGTCATCCTAGGATGCAGGACACAGAAACCATGTTTTTTTAAAATAACTTTATTATTTTTTTTAAAAGAACAGTAAAAACTAACAAGAATGAGGAGGAGGAGGAGGAGGAGGAGGAGGAGGAGGAAGGAAAGAAATTAGAAAAAAAAGATAGTAAAAATCAAGAGTGCAGAAAAAAGAAGAGATGAAAGGAAAAAAAAGAATTGACTTCCGACCCTCCTTGCAACAGATATAAGTAGCATCAGACATCAAACTCTTGCTCTGAATGTACAATATAACTTCCATTCTTTCTATTAACCCCTATTATTTCTAATCATCAAATCCATACAACGTAAGTTCACTTTTTTCTGTTTCCCGCAAGAGGCCCAAAAAAGGTTTCCTTTAGCATTAAAATTGCACGACGTCTTATCTCGAATCAAAGCCATCAATTTTGCCATCTCAGCCCAGCCGATCAGCTTCGCCATCCATTCCTCCACCCTAGATAATAATGTCTTCTCTTTTCACCTTTACGCACATAAAACTCTTGGTGCTGTTATCATATATAAGAACAAAGTCCTGTAAGTTTCTGCCAACTGTTTATCCATCAAGCCCAAAAGGAAAGTCTCTGGTTTTGACTGAATATTAATCAACACAGAACCGTGGCTTGATGTTAGAGGAAGACAGATTCCAGTAGAATATGAGGGGAAACTTACTGATAGCAAAGTGGCTTGACACTGGAACCAAATGAAGTTGTGCCCCCTGCCCTGGGTGGGTTGAAGTGGGGACCAGACAGACTTCAGCTGGCAAAGCTTTAATGTGGAGTTTTGCACAGAATAGGAGCCAAACCTGAGGGCTTCTTCCAGCTCTCATGCTGCGTTCACACAATATGCTTATCCGGATCACTGAATTAATCCACTTTCTGGCTTTGTCACATTAAACCATAAACTCCCCCGATGGGATGGGTTGATATCATGACCCTAAGCCACAAAAGAAACAAACCGGGGTTAATCGTAATCAAGCTTCATCTTTTGCACAAGTGCATGCTAGGTTGCGTTGGGGTCAAAAAAGTCAAAATGGAGGCTATGACATGGCTGGCTGGGGAATTCTGGGAGTTGAAGTCCACTCATCTTAAAGTGGCCAAGTTTGGACAACACTGGTGTAAACCCTCAGCTCAAGTCCGTTTCTTCTCGCTTCCTCCTCCTCTCCTCCAACAGGGACGCTGCTCTGTGGGACGATGGCGTGGCTCACCCACCTGCTGGCCTGCGTCTTTGGAACCGGCTCCTGGATGGCCGTCAATGGCGTGTGGGTCGAGCTTCCTCTGCTGGTGGCTGAGTTGCCCGAGGGCTGGTATCTCCCTTCCTACCTCACCATCATCATCCAGCTGGCCAATGTTGGGCCTCTCTTTGTCACTCTCATGCACAGGCTGAAACCGGGCCTGCTGAAGGAGGCACCGGTCATCTGTGTGCTGGTCTCCATAGGCGTCGTGGCCTGCTTCCTCCTGGCCTTCCTGTGGCATTACACCACCCCCATAGCTGGAGAACCACACAGCGTGGCTTTCTTCATCCTCACCTTCTTCCTCTCGCTGGTAGACTGCACCTCCTCCGTCACCTTCCTGCCCTTCATGGCACACTTCCACCCTCGCTATATCCCCACTTTTTTCATTGGCGAAGGACTCAGCGGGTTAATCCCAGCTCTCTTTGCCCTGGCCCAGGGAGCAGGCATTGCGAGCTGTGTCCAAGTCACAGCGCCAACCCACAATGCCACTGTTGACAACTCTTCCTTAGTCAACACAACTGGTGAACCTCTCCCTATGGAAACACATTACTCCCCAGCCAACTTCTCCAGCTTGGTCTTCTTCCTCATCCTGTCTGCCATGATGTTCTTCTGCCTCACCGCCTTCCTCTTCCTCAACCGGCAGTCCAAGCTGTGGGAGCTTTCCACACAGAACTTGTGCTCCAGTGAGATCAGCCTGAACTCAGTTCAGAAGATGCCTGCAGGCAAGCAGGAACCAGCAGACTTGAACAGGGGCACAACCTGCTCCATGGAGAGCAAGCTGGAGAACTCCAACAAAGGTGTTGATGATGCAGTTGCAGACACGGTCACGTATTCTTGCTCTAAATTCGCCTTCATCTATTTCCTTGTCGCTTGGATGAACGCGCTGACCAATGGCATCCTACCATCTGTGCAAAGCTATTCATGCTTGCCTTATGGCAACCTGGCTTACCATCTGACAGCCACCTTGAGCTCCATGGCCAACCCTCTTGCCTGCACTGTTGCCACCTTCCTACCCAACAGGTTTGTGTTCCCACCCAAGCCAGCTGTTTTGAAAATAGCATTCTTGGGGTGAATTGACTAACAATATAGGCTGTATTTCTCGTGCTTGAACTGCTGTGGATTGCTAAGACCTTTGCTTGGTCTTTGATAAGCCTGGGAGAGAGAGAGAGCAATTTGGCGCCACCTTGAAATGCTGTCAGGGTAGGTGGGAATGACCTTGGGAGACAGGAGTAAAAGCCGCAGATTAGGCAACAGTCAGATAAGAGGCGGCTGAGCTCACAGCAGGAATGGGAAGGAATGGGAGAGTGGCAACATCTCAGAAGGGGCCCTCCCTAGTTAAACTGTAAAGGTGAGGGGGGAGAGATGTACTTTGAGACTTGCAAGATTGTTGTCAGCTTTGTAAGATAGTCCAGACAAGAAGCACACCCAGAAGCACCAGCTCTAGCTTTATTGTAAGCTGACGTTAACAGAATCTTGCAAGTCTGAAAGTGCATCTCCCCCCCCCCCGCCTTTACAGCCCAAGAAACTAGTCAGGGTCCCTTCTGAGATATTTGCCAGGCCCCCATTCCTTCTGCGGGCTCAGCTGCCTCTTATCTATCCATTGCCTTTTCTGCAGCTCTTCCTTCTGTCTCCCAAGGCCACTCCCACATACCATCACAAAGGCTAATATCAGTCTGTTCAAATTTCTTTCTCAAGTTTCTTAATGGCTCACAAGATGCCCAATCATTCTTTACCAAACCATGGTTTAGTATGATATGTAAACCCATCTGACATCTTTCCTGTAATTTCTAACTAATTCTTTGTTTGGAGGTTGGCTTGGTCTGGTGACTTCTCAGCCCCTCTCCAAAAGGAACAACCCACTGCTCTCTCCCCCAGGTCTCTCCTGTTCTTGGGCATACTGGCAACCGCAGGGACTGCATTCGGGGTCTACAACTTGGTGATGGCCGTGCTCAGCCCCTGTCCGCTCTTACAGCAATCCGACTGGGGAGACGCCCTGATTGTAAGTAGGCCGCTCGATCGCTTCCTATGGTTTGAAAATACGTTGGTTGGATTTGCACAGTGAGCCAGACTTGGACTAAAAGGGGGCTGTGTTGTTCCGTGTCCAGGGAGAACCCAGCCCTTCTCAAAACATGTTGGGCGAACCCGGCCAATGCCTTGAGCTATAATAGGGTTTACATTTGAACCCTCGATTTTATATGAATACAGCAATGTTATTTTGTTAATTTGGGGTGATGAGGCCAGACAATAAATGGTCTTCTGCATTATTATGTCAGAATGGACTTGGAAAATGGATGCAGGAGTCTTCCGAGCTGCAGTTCTGACATATTGGGAAGGCACCAGTTTGGGAACATCTGAGAAAGCTATTTTAGCTGATCAAATTGACTGATTCAAGGCAGACCAAGGGTGAAATTCACATCATTAAAAAGTGTTCCCATGTATCATTTGTTTAGCTGCTAGATCAGTGTTTTTCAACCTTGGCAGCTTGAAAACGTGTGGACTTCAACTCCCAGAATTCCCCTTGCTGGCTGGGGTCCCCTTGCTGGCTGGGGAATTCTG